GTTGTGTTGTTGTGTTGTGTTGTTGTGTTGTTGTGTAGTGGTTGTGTTGTTGTGTAGTGGTTGTGTTGTTGTGTTGTGTTGTTGTGTTGTTGTGTTGTGTGCAGGTTAGCTCTTAGTTCTCAGGGCAGCTCTCTCTCTCTCTCTCTCTCTCTCTCTCTCTCTCTCTCTCTCTCTCTCTCTCTGATGATGTGTTTGCTGCTGACCTTTAAACAACTCTGTCCCATCATCCTCTGCTTCTCTTACAGAGGCCCGCAGGGAGAGAGCACACACACACACACACACACACACACACACACACACACACACACACACACACACACACACACACACCCATGCATGTAAATAGGCTTCAGCTGGTGTGGGAATACACACAGTATACATGTAAGAATGCACACACACACACACACACACACACTCAGAGGCATCACTGTCCGAGGTTTGGTGGTAATGAGGCCTGTCATCCTTCCACACAGCCTCTCTCCCTCCCTCTTTCTTTCTCTCTTTCTTTTCACATTGATCCACTAACAGATCCCCAATATAACAACTAGCAGTCGCTGTGGGAGCCTCCCCTCCTTCCTCCCCTCCTTCCTCCCCTCTCCTCTTCCTCCTGCTCCTCGACACGCATCCCTCCGGACCATTTAAAAACCTACCACCACTTTCTCTCCCTCCTCTCTGTATCTTTCTCTCCGTGCCTCTCTATCGCTTCCTCCTCCTCCTCTCTCTCATCCTCCTGAACCCTCTCCCGCCCTTCGTCTCCTGCTCTCCACACGTTCGCTGGGTTCAGACAGTCTTGTTATATCGGCTGACAAACAGCGCGCTGAGGAGGAGGAGGAGGAGGAGGAGGAGGAGGAGGAGGAGGAGGTAGTTTCTCCATCCGTCCCTCTCACCTGGTGGTCCTGTGGAAAAATAAAACAACAGCCGGAAAATAAAGACTCAGCTGAGACGTTTCAGACGATCAGAAAAGGACATTTCTCATAGTTTGTGCTGCTGTGATGCAGGTTTTCTTTTTCAACGGAGACATAATTTCGCTTTGTTAGTTCTGCTTTGACTAATTATGTCTTATGAGGATAATGAACGAATCACTTTACTTCATTGACCTTTAAAAGAAAACTTCTCCTGTAGCAGCCACTGAAAAAACAACACAATGCTCAAATACACGAAACTAAAACATCAACTGGAACCAAAACCAAACCAAGGAGACGGACAAAGATCTTAGTGAGAAACAGACGGAACATTTTGGTTGATTTCAATTTCAGGAAGTTTAGTTTAAAAATGAAAGTGGAGTCGTGCAGAAATCTGTCAAGGTAACTTTTCATTCTGTCGCCTGTTGGCGGCGTCACGTTCTCTTTGTGTGAGTGTTTGTCCGAAGAGTCAAAAGTGACTTTATCCAGTTTGAAGTCACATTTTTACTGAATACTTTTTACATCTTGGTGGTTTTTAACTCTGTGTTTGAAGCAGATGAAGGATTTGAGTCGTCGGACGTCTGGTCTGAAGTTTTCAGAGAATCAAGCTGAGCGAACGTTAGCGGCAACTCGACTCCTCAGAGACGAGTCAGAGAGACACTGAGTTTAACATGAAGCTGCTTTATCCTGTTAAATCAGCCGCTGATTGTTTTGGAGGAGACGTCTGAGGAGAAGACTACAACTCCCATCATCCCTCTCTGCTGCACCACCACATCAAACTCTGTCTTTAATCATAGTTCTGATAGAGACGCCCCCTAGTGGTAGAAAATTACACATTGTGCCTTTAAATTTCTGAGCAATTCAAAGGGAAAAATGTCCGCAAATCTTATATAATATACAAATCTCTGCATAAAGATATAATTTTATAGATATTTTTATTTTACATATTTGTTAGAGCTGGATTGTCGTTTCACAATTAGTTCTTTATTCAAATCATTTGTTTTTAATTATTGATATTAGTGAATGTGTTTGTCTCATGGCTCCTCCTCTGGTTTCATGTTATCTGGCTTCATTAAAAGGCCCCAAAAATTAAAATTAAAATCACTTTCCCTTTGAAAAGAATCAGGAAAATAAAAGAAAGAAACTAGATCATTATTTAGAAACACAGATACTGGGATGTGGAAACTTGCGGAGCCGTCACTTTCAGCTGCTGCTGAATCAACACGTTTGTGGTGAAAATCTAAAAAATCAGGATCGTTTTTGTTAATTTGTGCAGATCTGACTTCTGGGAGGAGCCGGCGTGTCGAGCGGGCGGCCGTGATATATTTCACTGTTTCCTGTCAACTTCCTGTCTTCCTCCAGAGATTTCTGCTCTGCTCTGACCTTTGTGTTCAGAGATGTTTTCCTCCCCTGTGTGTGTGGAAAGGTGTGTATCTGTTTATCTGTTTGTATCTCTGTCTGTCTGAATGTGTCTGTCTGAATGTGTGTGTGTGTGTGTGTGTTGTAGAACAGGGGAAAACAAATCACCCGCTGTAGTTCTCATTAGCAGCAGTTTTGTGTCAGTGCTGAGAGATCAGCTGTCAGCGCTCAGCCTTCCTCTGCAGCTTCACCTTTTACCGACGATAATTACACCGTTTAACGCCAGCGCTTCTCAAACAGCGGCCTGCAGACGCACAACGGGTTCGACCGGGCAACAAAGAAGGGTCTCTGCATCGTACAAGACGGAGTAAGACTCTGAAAACGTTTCCTGCGGTCGGTCGTTATCAGGAGGATCAGATCTAGAGCTGGGGAATTTGGAGTCGACACCTTAAACTCTTTGTCTCGTTATCGTGCTGAAAGAAACCGCCGCCATCAGAGTGAACTGTTGCCATGAAGTGTTCTTGGTCTGTTGGTGTGTGTCCACGTTAAAGGCCTCAAGGACTCAGGGTTCCACAGCAGAACGTTTCCCAGAGCGTCACACGCCTCCACACGCCTCCACACGCCTCCACACGCTCCTCCCACTGTATCGTCTGTTCTCCAGGTAAAAGACGCACACTGATCAGAAACACTTGAACATCAGTGAGGTGAGAACGACCTGAAATGACAGAAACATCTTTGACAAACATTTATTTAACGTCTGCTTTGATTTTTTTTCTTTCGGTTCATGTCCCATCTGCTAACATGGAGGAGGAGGGTTTAGGACCCATACTGCAGCCAGACACCAGGGGGCGATCCAGACGCTGTGTCTTCATTCTTGGGGAGCGATCATGTCTTCCTATCTTTTCCACCTGATGAAACTCAGGAGGTGAAGTGAGTTGTTCGGTGATCTGAAGGTCGGTGGTTCGATCCCCTTCAGCTCCTCAAGTCGAAGCCTCATTCAGCAAAACCTTGAAACATTGAGTTTTCCTCATGTGTGAAGTTTTGTATAAATGTATTTCTCATCTTTCCTGTTTCCAACAGAACAAGGAGTGTCCACTTTTTACTTTCTCTGCCCTAGAATGGGCCTTTATATTCAAATATATATAGTGTTCAGCTGCAACATGACACTTCACCACTAGAGGTCACTACATTCTACACACTGAACCTTTAAATAACTGGGACACAATGAAGACAGATCGAAATGACGGATATTTTTTCAGTTTATTGTAGAAAACACAGCTGTTCACACTCTTCTGTTAATATAAATAATGGAAACATAACGTTTGATATGTTTGGTTTTTAATGCTGCGTTAGCTTCAGTGGCATGAGGAAGATTAGTTCAAACTTTATTAGAGACAACATTAAAAACAACTCGCAGGAATTAACTGTCAGGTTCACTGACGCAGTCACATGGTTCAACATTTATATTCATTATTGAAACTAAACAGTATCAGACAATATTAATTCTCGTTTCCACACTTTAACAATATTTTTCTTTCTGTGCAATTTGTGCTGCAGTTTTTTTTACTCACATGATACAGTGCATAATTCATCCGGAAGACAAATAGTTCAAATCAAGACATGAAAGAAGAAGATCCTAAATAATTTTAGTGCCAGAATGATGTTTGACACCTGCTACAGTTTGTTTCTCTCTTTGTTTGCATATGTTTATTAAAATGACGATATTTAAATATTCAATGCATAGGAAATGTCAGGAAGTTTGGCAACTGAGAATGATTTGGCAATAAGAGATTCACGAGGAGCTACATAGTTATTGTGTAAGTGCAAGTTTCATGATATTCGTCGTGTTTGATTCACAGCACCAAACATTATAAAATTATTATTATTATTATCAGACACGCTCTTCAGTCAGTTTCCTGTTACGAAACCCCCGCTAACGCTGAGCATGTTACATCTAGTCTTTGTGACACGTAACATGCTAACGTCCTGTATGAAACGCTTCACGTTATCTTGCTAATTGGGACGAGAGTTCGAGCCCAGAGTGTTTGTGATACCAGCTGAAATGTGTCTGTACCGCGAATATCAAAACTTTTCAAATATTCGCTGGGACAGGAACTAGTTCAGGTTCTGATTCTTCTTAAAACTTTGATCAAACGTTTCCTATTTTAAAGATCCGGTGTGGAAGATTCAGGAGGATCTGCAGAAACGTTGTTTCACTTTCATAAAGTTTTCCTTCAAGATGAAAAATTCTGTTGACCTAAGGTTCTGGTGTCAAACTATTCAAACCAACATCCGGCTTTATGAGCTGCTGTCTTTACGCAAAAGTAATAAAATGAAAATGTGAGATTGGCAAATGATTTGTGATCCATCACCAGTATTTCATCATCACATTCTGTTACCAGCCCTCCACCTCCACCACGAACGGCTCTTTGACCGGAATCCTGCCGCTGTTGACGATCACGCACTCGGTGTACGGCAGGTTCCTGTCGTTGGTGTCCTGCAGCTCGATGGTGTGAACCACAGCCTGACGGAGGAGACGGACAGAAGCGGGTCAGACACTCAACACTGACGTAAAAGAAGAGCAAGAACCCGTTTCTATGTCGGAACGAACGTCCTGAAGATTGTCAGGTGATGTTTTCATGTTGGAATGCTGATTTAAACGCGTATTTAGACTCATGTCATCGACCTCCATGATTTCTTCCACAAGAACGACAACAATGACGTTCTCAGCTGCTCGTGTAACAACACTGTTAACGTTTAAATTAACATTTTGCCACATTTTTTCAGAACGCAGCCCTGGTGTGGACTACTTCCTGGGTGGGTGGAGCCACTGAATCCATACAGGAAGTCAGCTGACCTGTGGCGGCGCTTTCAGAAGTTTAAACTGTGTGAAGCAAACATCTCCTCACGCAACGACTCCTGAAAAGTGTTTGACGCACCATCCCGTCCAGGACCTTCCCAAAGACCACGTGTTTCCCGTCCAGCCACAGAGCCTTGGAGGCCAGGATGAAGAACTGAGACCCGTTTGTGTCCGGCCCGGCATTCGCCATACTCACCTGGTACAAACACAACACACACACACACACACACACACACACACACACACACA